ATGCTTTGCTCAGCAAACTATCTCCTGGTGCAGTAGTGGCACTTTTATTTTGAGTGTAAATCATAACTTTCTAATTGAGGTTAAAGCTGACTCAGTGGGAAGGAAACCAAGTGTGGTGTTTTAAAAACAGCCATTACACATGGCTGGAGAGGTCACAGATCCTAGGAAAAAAATGTGCTTTTGTCTTACTGTATTCTAAAGACATATATTTACAGACAAGTGTACTTCTCAACACTCATCAAAACTGATACTTCTTACAACATGTCCCCGACCGCTTTCCGTATCGCCGGCAAGAACGACGCGGGAGGACAAGTCAGGATCCTTCTGCAGCAGTTTATTGTATGCGCATCTTACACTCTTAGAAGCTTAAAGACCGAAGACGCCGAGAAGCGGGAGAGCGATTGCTTATATAGTCTAAAGGTCCCATCTATGACGTATAAGAAGCGGATTGGTTGCTGGAGATCACCCCACGGGAGGAGGCGAGGGAGAGCAGGCTCTTGTGCACGCCCCTTATGGGCGCAGCAGGATGTTTACTGTTAAGAAGGTCCGGATACCGGCGCCATCTTGTAATGGCGGCGGAGGCTGTGGCTCTCCACACATGTGGGTGGTGGGAATCGAACCCAGGTCTTCTTCAAGAGCAGTCAGTGCTCTTAACCGCTGAGCCATCTCTCCAGCTCCACTGAAGGGAGCTTTTACGAGAGAGAGGTTCATGCATCCCGACCTCTGTGCAATTAGGCATATTCTCATAGATGATAACATCTATGTATCATCTACTGCGATGCTTTGCTCGACATTCCCTTTGAACTGCTAGAATCCTGTTCTTCATTTGTGCAATGGGTCTTCACCCCAAATGGTTCAAAGCAACAGAATTCAGCGACCTGTATATATATATATTGATTATTTCAGTATCTCAAGCCAAATGTCTATGGGTGATCCGGCCTCTAGCGCTGCGAGGGCCTGTGCAACAACTGCCTTTTGCTTATTAGATCTTATTTTCATTTTGCAGACCAACCATAACACAAAGAGCATCCCACAAATTATAAAGAATCCAAACATTCCCACCCCCACCCATTCCTTGAAGTAGGAGATAGCAGACTGGATCCAGGAGCCCAATCCTTCTGTTAGCGAGAGATCGATTCGCGTAGAATTGATCTGGATGATGGCTACCCTTTATTTTACTAAGGTATCTTCAAAATCTGCTGTCCAGTTGAGCTTCAAATGCTGTGAAAGACTTCTAGAGAGGTTAGCAGCAAGGGTGAAATTATCATATTGGATAAAAGTGATACAAAGGCCTGGGAGTTTCTGTTCACATCCCAATTGTGCTAATTGCCATAATATGTCCACTTGTTCTTGCAAGAGGTCAATTCTTTGATTGACTAGCATTAAACCTCCTTGGAGCTGCATATTAGCAGAGGCTTGATAATCTAGAGCAGCAGACACTGAAGTGGCTGTCTGCACCAATGTGGATAATGCCATGGCGGATGCCACGGTAGCCCCTGTAATTGCTGCTCCTGCAATGATGACTGCAATGGCGGCAGATATGCCAAAATCTCTTTTATGCCTAAATAAAGATAGGGTACCTGGCGTGGCTACAGGCACAGGTATATATCGAGGCATGCGGGTAGCAATGGCAACAGGGTAAATAGAAGCATTCCAGCAGGGGATATAAGCACACTCATCTAAAGAACAATTTAACATCTATTGGTAGTGAATAACCTGGGAAAAACCTGGGCATCATACGTTACCGTCATCGGAAGGGGGAAGGTGGACATTATTCCCCAACGGTACTGCATCTGCTGCTCCTTTATCTCTGTCGAGGTGGTCATCATTAGGAACATTGCCCATATCATTATCCAATATCCGGACAAGCCTGGCTGGCACCCATATTGGATTTTCTGCATCCTGTGGAAAAATACATATAGCTCCCCTGGATCTTATTAAAATAGGATCCGGTCCTTTCCATTTATTAGTAAGAACATCCTTCCATTTTGCTATTTGATTTCTTTGGGTATATTTTTTGTAATGTCTATCAGCAGCTGTTTGTCCATTATCATCTAAATTTAAAAAATTTAGAGTAAATAGGGCCATAGATATTATTACTCGGGGAGTAGAAGTAAGCACTGCTTCCATACCCCCTTTTTGCTTTTGTATATAGTTTTTTAGAGTGCGATGAGCGCGTTCAACAATCCCTTGTCCTTGTGGATTGTAGGGGAGTCCTGTTATATGAGTTATATCCATTTGTGAACAGAAGTCTTGAAACTTCTTGGAAGTATAAGCAGGACCATTATCTGTCTTTAAAATTTTTGGCTTACCCCATGAACTCCATGCCTCTAAACAATGTTGAATAACATGAGAGGTCTTCTCTCCTGCAAGTGGGGTTGCAGTTATTATCCCTGAGCAGGTGTCTATTGAGACATGGACAAACTGCAATTTTCCAAAGGAGGGTATATGGGTAACATCCATTTGCCATATTTGCAAGGGAACAAGGCCTCTGGGATTAATGCCAACATGAGGTGTAGGCAGAAATACACAGCAATTTTTACAATTGGTAACTATTTCTCTTGCTTGTTTTCTAGAGATTTGAAAACGTCTTCTTAAGGTCTCAGAGGTCACATGGAACTTCAAATGAAATTGAGAAGCCAATTGTACCGAATTAAGAGTCATCAAGGCCATGATTTTGGTGGCTTTGTCTGCCAAATCGTTGCCAAGGGCCATAGGTCCAGGGAGGCCCATATGAGCCCTAATATGGGTAATATAAAATGGCGATTCTCTGGACCATATCGCCTGTTGCAAGGCCTCAAATATAGTTGCTATACTTGAACTTTGTTTTATGATCCCCACCGTTTCCAACAGTTGGACCGCATTTACAACATAAATGGAATCTGAAATGATATTAAGGGGGCCCAAGTATTTTTCAAGAACTTCTAGAACTATGAGGCATTCTATCTTCTGGGGGGAAGTTTCTTTAAATGATTTGACATATATTTTGGAGTCTATTACATAGGCTCCTTGTCCATTATTGGATCCATCTGTGTAGATGGTTATAGCCCTTTCTATGGGTATGGAGGAGGTTATCTTTGGAAATATTATGGGGTGTCTTTTTATAAACTGAAGTAGTGGGTGTTTTGGATAATGGTTATCAAAGGTACCTGGGTAGATAGTATGCAATATAGCCCAATCATCTGAAGCTGTAGCCAGAACTTCTAATTGTTGTTTGGTATAGGGAAGATAAATGATAGAGGGATATACCCCAAAATATTCTATGGAAGTCTTTAGTCCTTTAAATATAATTCGGGCCATAGCTGCAGGGTACCAGTCTAAGATTTTTTGAGGTGTGGCCTGAAGGTGTATCCACAATAAGGGTCCCCCTTGCCACAATGTTGCTGTAGGGAGTTTTTCTGTTTGTATGATTATTAGATAGAAAGGCTCTGCTGCTTTAATTCGCTTTAATTGTGCCGTTTCTAGCGCAGTTTCTACGATTTTTAGGGCTGTTGTCGCTTCTGGAGTTAATTTCCTGGGAGAAGTTATCTTAGGATCTCCCTCTAAGATATCAAACAGAGGCTTGAGCTCTGAAGTAGGTATTTTAAGAAATGGTCTCAACCAATTAATATCTCCCATAAGTTTTTGAAAATCATTGAGTGTGAGCAGGTTCTGTCTTTTTATTTCTAGCTTCTGGGGTTGTATATATTTTGGGTATATTCTTGACCCTAAAAAGGAACCATAATGGGAACCCTGTATTTTTTCTGGAGCAACACATAGCCCTTTATTCTTTAGTCTATGCAGAGTATTCTTAAGCATAACCTCAAGCTCTTTTCTATTTTGGCTGCTAAGTAAGATATCATCCATATAATGAAGTATGACCGCATTAGGAAAGGCTCTTCTGATGGGACTAAGTATACTTTGTACATATAACTGACAGATTGTAGGACTATTCATCATGCCTTGTGGCAACACCTTCCATTGATATCTTTCATCAGGATCTGCATGATTTACAGCTGGGATTGAAAAGGCAAATCTTTTTCTATCTTGAGTATGCAGGGGAATGGAAAAGAAGCAATCTTGAATATCTATTATATAAAGTGGCCAATCTTTTGGTACGGCTGACATAATGGGAAGGCCATGTTGCACAGTTCCTAACATTAACATTTGTGCATTAACTGCCCTTAAATCTTGTAGGAATCTCCATTTCCCTGTTTTCTTTTTTATTACAAAAATAGGAGTATTCCAAGGTGACGTAGATGATTCAAGATGACCTTGCATTATTTGTTCCTGTATTAATAATCTCAGAGCCTCTAGCTTTTCGGAGGATAATGGCCATTGAGGCACCCATACTGGCTCCTCCGATTTCCAAGGTATGGGTTTGGGACCCTCAATGGCTCCTAGAAAAAACCCAATCCCCTTTTCTCCCTATTGGTGATTGCTTCTAAAGGTTCTATGCTGCCTTGGAGGTTTTTACCTAATCCTTTTCCTTTTTGGTATCCCATTGTATTCATTATCTGTTCGGCAGTAGATATTTTGCATGTGGTCTTAGTTTCTGCCTGACTTTCATCTGATAATTTCATTCCCATATCAGCTAAAACATCACGTCCCCATAAATTTGTTGGCAAAGGCAATACATATGGTGTAAACATTCCTTCCTTACCTTGGTCCGTTCTCCATAAAAGAGGCCGTGCGCTTATTGCGGGATTAGAGCTATATCCCAATCCTCGAAGGGTTTGGCTGGACTGCTTAAGTGGCCAAGTTTTAGGCCACCAATGAGAGGAGATTAGACTCTGGTCTGCCCCTGTATCTAGTATGCCTTCAAATTTCTTTCCCTGTATACTCAAAGTCATCTTTGGCCTGGAGCCCAAATCCATTATTAGATTGGCCTCATTTCTTTCTTCATTAGATATGGGTATTAATTGAGCAATGGTATCTCCCTCCTTTATTTCTATAGGCCATTGTGGACTGGAGCATAGAACCTGAAATTTTGGGCCCTGGACAACTCCTGGAAATACAATTATCTCTTGTCCTGAAAACTTACTACATCCTATTAGAAGACCTTGTAAACTTTTTGTAGAGGCCATTAAGACCTGCACGGGAACAGGTTGGGGTCCTTGATCTGAATCTAATAGGACATTGGAGGTGGCGTACACGTCCAATCTTCCCATTCCTCCGTGGGGGAGATGATTTCCTGAAATCGGTCCCCGAATCGCTGCTGCAATTGGGCTTTGGACCATGGGCATGTTTGGGCGGGGTTTCCATATTTGTCTGGGCCCTGGAACCGAGGGCCCCTCATCTCGTTTTTTGGCTTAAATTCTTGCTTTGGGCTCTTCCAAGGCCTTGGGGGAACCAAAAGTTTTCCCTCAATGTCTCTTATAGATCTACAGTTCTCGGCCTTGTGTGCCCCTTTTCTGCATCTAGCGCAGATTTCAGTTGTAAGATTATTTGGGGCTGCACTCTTGCAGTCTTTTTTAAAATGTCCCATTTTGCCACATTGATAACAAGGTCCTTTGCCTCTTCCTTGAGGAGCATTTTTGGCAATATGCATTATAGCTGCCGCCAGCCCTGCATTAGATAATGGGCCCCCTAACTCTCTACATACCCTTAACCAATCTTGTAATCCTTTACCCTTTCGAGGGGCAATGGCATTACGGCATTCTTGTGTTGCTTGTTCAAAAACTAATTGCTCAATAAGAGGCATTGCAGATTCTGAATCTCCAAAAATTCTGTTTGCTGCCTCGGTCATCCTGGCCACAAAATCTGAAAATGATTCCTGTGGGCCCTGTATAATTTTGGTTAGCTGGGTTGCTCCTTCTCCCTTTTTAGTTAAAGCTTTCCATGCTCTAATTGCCGTCATGGAAACCTGTTGATAGGCTCCCCAGGCATAAGTATTTTGTTCATTTGCATATCTTCCTTGTCCTGTTAACATTTCATATGTCCATTGTTGTTGTTCAGGGGTTAAGGAGGCTGCATTGATTCGGGCTTGCTATGCCCCTTATGGGCGCAGCAGGATGTTTACTGTTAAGAAGGTCCGGATACCGGCGCCATCTTGTAATGGCGTCGGAGGCTGTGGCTCTCCACAACAACAGATGGAGACTAACTGCAGAGTTCCACAACTGATCAAATGTAGACAATAAATGTCTGTGACATACCTGGTGGTGACACATCTTCAATACACCTTAACCACTGTACCTAAAGCTCAGAGAATATGGTGGAACCAGAGACAGAAAGAATATTAATAGATCTTTCAACTCTCACCATCAAAGCTTCCTAATCCAACAGATGGTTATTTCAGAAAACCCACAACTTGCCAAAGTGCTAATATGAGGCTGCTGAATGTTTGTCCTGGGTCAGACACTTATAACAAACCTCCAACACTCAGGGACCATTGAAGAAGAAGGGTTGGAAAGGCTGTAAGAGCCACAGGTGGTGAAAGACCACAAGGAAGCAGAGTTTTCCAGACTGCTGGTAAGTTATTCATTTGAACTTACAGCAGTTGTAAAAATATACACAATATCGATGCAAGCTCAAATCAGATATCAACCAGCTTAGAAAAGGGAAACAAGAAACTCCAACTTTAGCCAAGAAACTATTGGCAACTAATGACTACAAACAGAGGGAGAGTTGGTTTTCTTCAAGGGAGTGACACTAGATTGGTTGACCAAACTCCAGTGCAGTGGATGCACTCACACCAAAGGACATTTGGGGACATAGATTTACTTACTAAGCCTTAACATATATGATAGAATTCATAGAAACCAGTTAGGGGACTTTGCATGTGGTGCAGACAGGGGAGAAGATCTAAACATGTTTAAGATATACTGTATGAAATTTGCAATCAATTAAAAAAGGAAAGTTTTTTATTATTTTTTTAGCTATGTTTTTACTTTTCTTATTACTGCAAATAAATACTTGACAAGAATCAAATTTGGGAAGGAGCTTTTTTAACTTGTTTCATGTCAAATGGGGCATGGCAATTTGGGCTCCTGCGTTGTGTGGGATTTTGCAAAGATCAATGCCTGAATGGCAAAGGAAGAAAGTATTTACATTACTCTCATTCTGTGTGGCCCCTTGGCCTACTCTCAGTGACCTACTTCAGGAAGCCAGACCTCATTTCTTCAAATTTCCACAACATTGCAAAACAGTGCCTTTAGCTGGAGGCCAAGTGTCCAACACATGAGCCTATTGTGTGTATTTCACATTCAAACCAAACCTGAAGAGAAGAGAGGGAACTAGTGTGTGAAAATAAAGTACATTATATGCATGCCTAAAAATATCACAAAGAAACTCATCCTTTTGTATAAATTCTGTGTACTAATGAAAATGTATAGGAAGCAGAATGATCATGTGTAATCTTGATTCCTAGCATGGATGTTAACAAGGAAATAATCATGCTTTTTAAGAGAGTTTAGGAATGGGAAGGACTTGATAAGTAGAGAAATGATGGCCATTTCTGTTAGAGCAGGATGAATTTTTAAAAATTCTTATCATAAAAAAACACATCAGAAGGAAACTCATAAAAATATTTATTATTGCTATTCATGAATAAATTTATTTTAGACAGTTTCTCCCATCCATAACATATGATTCCTTCAATAGAGAAGGGCTTGCTATTACAAAAAGCTGAGATGTAATACAAACTACTTTCTAGCTTCCAATCTGTAGGAAACCAGCTAAGCTGCACATAAATCTTTCTGTAGAGTGACAAAGGAACATGGTAACTTCTGATGTCATCAAGATGGTAGCCTGTTTCCACCGTGTAACTCTAAATCAGACTGAATTTTTTAATTTCACATCTTTAACTGAACTTTAGATTGAATTAAGAAGTACATGCATGAACAAATTATAAGGAATAAATATGATGTTGCTACACATAAATAAATAAATATTTTTTAGTTTCTTAGTAATATTGTCTGCATCTAGTCTCACATATTTTGAGATAATTGTTTTATACTGTCAAAATGTAATTATTTGTGAAACACTTTATTTTTACCCCAAAATAGCTTGTGACACAAAATAAGATCACCTTTTGTCCCAGCACTCAAGAATCAGAGGCAGGGGGATCCTCTGTGAGTTCGAGGCCAGCCTGCTCTACAGAGTGAGTCCCAGGCCCTGGAGCTACAGGGAGACCCTGTCTCAAAAAGACCAAAAAAAAAAAATCTATATTATATCGTATATTTGCATTTTATTTACATGAATTATATGTGTGTTCTGTATACATGTGTGTGTACATACACCTTTATAAGAGACTATCTCATATATTAAATGACTATAATGTTCTTTTTTATGCAAATAATGCATCATTTGCAAGTAAATCACTCAAATGATTCTTATTAATAGGGCCAATATGACTTACACTTCAGAAAGATAAATCAGTGTAACATGCCATCACTATTCACTTCTATTTACTACGAATAATCAGAAGTTCATTAGCCTTTATTACATTAAATGTGTATCATTTCAAGTAATTTAAAATATTGTAATGTGCATTTAAAGGATCAAATTTCTTTATTTGAAGGATAAACACAATATTTGATGCTAGACCCAAATTCACTATTCTCTCCTTAAATTTTTACTACTTTTAGATCAATAGGGCAGAGATTCCAGCTCTCTGAGGCTGTTGGCTATTAGCACTTTTATTTCTTAATTAATCTCTAAGTGTGACTAGTAACTGATTATCTTGCTCTGTTAGCCACATCACTGAAAATGCATACGTCAAATAGGTTGATGAAAATCTTCAGTAGTTCTTAAGATCAATGCCATGCAACTATTACATTTTGAATCCTGTAAATTTTCTCTCCATTTCCCAAGAATCTGAGAGGTCAAGTCTCTGGGTATCATTGTTACTTGCTGTGTTCCCCAGGGTTCCTGGTTGCTCCAAAGGGTGGGGTTTGCTCTGGATAATTGACTGTGGTTAGTTAGCCACCCAAGGAGGGGTTTGTGGGGCCATCTTGGGACCGAAGCCTTGAGCCGCCAAGAACTGATGAGGTGGGTGTGGGGAATGTGCAGCAGCCAGGCATACTCAAGAACAGGATGGCCCCGCATTTAAGGACCTGGGGCGAGACCGCTGGCCCCTGAGGCATGGGCAAAAGCTAGTGGTGACTATAAGCATGCTGAAGGAGTGATCTGGTCAGGCTCTGAGCTGCAGTGCAGAACCGGCACTGCAGAACTGAGTTGTATGGAGCTAGGCACTGGGTGTTTATTTCTTTGTAAGTCACTCCTGTCCCACACCATGACAATAATCAATGTACATAAACGTGCTATACGGTTTGCCTGATAGTGTTAGAGAACCAGAGAAAACTCTGCCTTTGTGTTTTCTTCTGTTCTTCAGGCCTGTCAAGCAGGTACCACTCCAGTGACCCTTCCCTTGCCTGCTGATGTGTTTCTAAAAGTCCTACTGTCCTTCTCAGTCTTCTTAAGAAGAGTTTCCTACTGACCTGTTAGGGTGAGAAAGGATTCTTTTATCTAAAAATCTGACTCTCTATTCATTGTTTCCTGCCAAAATTGTAGTATTCATTTTATTCTCCTCAAAATTTCCAATGATTCCATTAAAAATATTTTAGTTATTTTTACTTTATGTGTAAGAATGTATTACCTACATGTATTGTAAGCATACCCATGTCATGCAATGCAAACAGAGGTCAGAAGATGGAGTCAAATCCCCAGGAACTGGAGCTATGGATGATTGTTAGCTGCCATGTTGATGATGGAACTGAATCTAGCGCTTCTACAAGAGTAGTCACTTCTCTTAACCACTGAGCCATCTCTCTAGCCCGCAAATGGCCAATGATTTACAATTTTCATTCTGACTATGTTTAAAATTGTAAATATGCTCTTTACTCAAATTTTGGTTTTGCCTTTCCAATTCTACTTATAAAAACAGTTTTCCATGGTAAAATTAAATAACTTTGCATATTAGGTTTCCAAATCTTCCATTGATCACCCAAGATGTCTTGTTGTGCCTCTTTAAAATATGGTCTGGATTCTTGCTTTATTTTTGTTATAAAATTTCATATTTTGGGTCTTCCCGGTATCATAGATTTTTTTTTTCTGCTTAGGAGACTAGAATATTTTTCTCTAACTTAAAACATGAGAACTACTAAATATTGTATTATTATTTTGTAAGCAACAAACGTTTATGTTTACCTGTACATAGACTGATAAGCATTTTAGGTAACTACAATTATACCATCTCATTTTCTCAGTAGCACTAAAATATATAGTTTTACTGCAAGAGTCTACAATTTATTCCAGATAATTAAATAACATACTTATTGTTAATAGTATAGCTAATATCACTTGTTTTTTTAATCTCCAAAGACCGTAATTCTTCTTTTATTTCCTACTCACTCTAAACATGTAGATACATTCCCCTCATAGTTAAAATACTTGACAACCTAATTAACTTCAGTAGCCAACTATTAGTAATGAGAAAACATGGAAATATGGCAGATTACTAATTTAAGTTGTCTGTAAACATATAAGAGTCTTGTACAAGATTTGTAGGAATCTTAATCTAATGCTGAAGAGTCCCAATGGGTTCTAATAGGGCTTACATTCTCAAGCAGATTTTACTTTGATTCAGGTTTCAGTGACAGTAAAAACACACTTCTGAAAGCAACCAAAAGGGATTTACTCACATTTCTTGGTGTAGGATAACAGGGAATTGGAGAAATTAACACACTAAAGGTCTTTGAAAAAGCCATATGGAAAACTACCACTACAGAAGTTTCTTAAGGTACATATATACATATCAAAAAAAGAGATTAAAAGGAGTTATTCTTTTAATATTTCATTTATTATATTTTATGTGTGTATGAGTGTATTGCTTGCATGTATGTAAGTGCACTTGTGTTGTGGAATGCCCACAGAGGTCAAAAGAAGGCATCAGATTTCCCTGGAACTGGAGTTACAGACAGCTGTTAGCTGCCATGTGGGTACTCGGAATCGAACCTGGATCCTCTGTAAGAGCAGTCAGTGT